AGAGAGAGAGAGAGAGAGAGAGAGAGAGAGAGAGAGAGAGAGAGAGAAAGTAAGTCAAACTAGCTGGAGTACCAGCTCAGTGGCTAAGAACAGAATTGTTCTTCCAAAGAACCAGGATTCAATTTCTACACTCACAGAGTGGCTCCAAGGGGATCTGATGCCTTCTTCTAGTTTCCAAGGGTACCACAGTACCAGGGTACATGTAGGTATACATGTGGTACTCTGACATGCATGCAGGGAAAATACCCATACACACAACAAAAATAAAACATTTGGGGGGGGGAGGTAAACAGGGCTGGAGTGTAGCTTAGTGGTACAACAATTGTTTTGCTTGTGCAAGGCTCTGGGTTCCAGACCTACTACTGCCAGTACTATTACTGATAGCAACAACAACACCACCAATCAGGATGTAACAGGATAGTGAGTGGTACTCATGGGTGAGCAGCAAAGACAGAGAACATTTGGTCTGGTGAAGCTAGGGGAGAAGTATCGTTTGGGAAGATGTCATAGGCAGAACAAAGGTCCTCGGGTATAGAATATAGAGTTGAGTGAAGGAGAGTAAGGGATGAAACCGAGGAAGTCATGGAGCACGAGACTGAATCAGACCCTTGCTTTTATTCCAAGTGGGAATGGGAGAAGTTGCTGGAAGTTTCAAGAAAAGAAAGATCTTATTTAATTAGCATTGTTTTTTGTTGCCGTCCAAGGACAAGAAGACAGAATCTTTTGCTGTCCACCTGTACAAATGATAGGCTAGCTGGCCCACAGACCTGTGGGGATTGCCCTGAATCCCAGATTTGTGGTACTGCATATAACCTTTATGTGGGTTCTGTGGGTCCCATCTTAGGTCTTCACTCTTGGCAAGCACTTTACCCACAAAGCCATTTCCCAGCACCCTCCTCTTCTTTTATTATTTTTGTTTTTGAGACAAAGTCTATGTAGCTGTCTCAGAATTAGCTGGTTTTGAACTCAGAGACCTACCTGTTCTACTTTTCAAAGTGCCGGGATTAGAAGTATAGGCCACCAGGCCTGGCTGGCTCTTAATATTTTTAAAAACAGGGTCGAATGTGGCCAGGCTTTTGTTAAATGTCATATATAACTGATCTCCCTGTCTCTCTCTGACTACCAAAGGTTGGGATTAAAGATGGGTACCATCAAACCTAGCATGACAGCCATTTTGGGATATAGACTTTTAAAAAAATTATTTACTTTATGTATATGTGTATGCTGTAGCTATCTTCAGACACACCAGAAGAAGGCATCAGATCCCATTACAGAGGTTGTGAACCACCATGTGGTTGCTGGGTATTGAACTCAGGACCTCTGGAAGAGCAGTTGGTGCTCTTAACTGCTAAGTCATCTCTCCAGTCCAGGATACAGACTTTTTAAGACACTTTCCTACAATGTCATCATCCCTTTTTGGATTGTCCTTTCAGATAACCTGTACACTTTCTTAGATACAAGGCCACACTCCCACCTCACCCGAAGGCGGTATCTGTTGGAAAGCCAAGAAACCACAAACAGAAATCCCCGTCTTTGCCATGCAACCCTTCCAGAAAAGTCCCTAATGCAGCGTATGTTCACTTGGGCCTGGGTAGGGCAGTGTCATGTGACACTCCTTCCCTGGCCTTCCTTTTCCTTACCCTCACTCTCCACAGCCTCACTCTGCACCTCTCAAGCCAGATGTGAATTCCTGAACCTGAACTTGCTGTGACTTCCAAGAACAGCATCTTAAGAGATTTGTGTTCACAGATCCTGGAGGGTCTTTGGGCATTTTGCTTCCCTTTAGGACCTCAAGAGCACATTCCATAGCAAAAGATTGACTTTTCAGTTCCTAAGAGTCCCAGCCTGTGACACATGCTCTACACGCACACCCACGCACATATGACTGGGTGTCAGTCTACTGGAGAGGACTGTAAACACTGTGGTAAACAGGGCTCTTGTTGAGGCCCCCCCCCTCAGCATGGCGGCAGAGCACCTGTGTGAGCTATTAGTGAAGGGTCAAGAGCACTGCTCACCTGAAGGGTACTTGCCTAAATGTCACTTGTAGGGGATGGCTCGGCAATAACACGCCTGACATTCCACCATGTTCTGGATTGGCTAGTATTCAAACAGAAGACGTAGCTGCAGGGGCCAGCAAAGAGTGAATCTTACCTCTAGTGTTCCTTTTCTTTCCGTCTCTAAACTTCAGGCTTCAAAATGCTATTTAGCAAGGTGTTGCGTGCATCTTTAAGCTCAGCACTTAGCGGGCAGAGGCAATTGGATCTCAGTGTGTTTAAGGACAGCTGGGACTACATTGTGAGACCGTTTCAAACAAAAACAAATGGTAGTTTTTTGCAGATAGGGGTCAACCCCGGGTCATTTACTAAGCAAGACTTCATTCAACTATGTACTCTAAGCCCTTAAGTTTGAGATTTTCCCTATGCAAATGTAAAATTTGACACACTAACCGTTTCTAATCCTGAGGACTAAAGGATTTAGTTTGCATAAAGTGGTTTTGACAGTATCCTTAAGCAAACCAGTAACAGTTACACTTTATACAATGCTACACTTATGTTACACTTGCCCTACTTTTGTTAAGGCAAGGATGTTAAGTATTTGAGAAATTTAGCAGGCTCTTCCCTAGATCATCCCAGAGATATTTACAGACTTAATTACAATTCCAATCTTTCCACAATGCTTTTATTAGAAAAACAAAAACCAAGAACAACAACAAAGAAAACTTCACTCAAAAAAATAATCAAAACAGACAAACAAACAAATGCCACCACAAACCCCACCTTCTCTTTCTTCTTAAGTAGCATGGCATGGAGCTGGTAGATTTCTGCCCTATTGCACATGGTCCGGCCTGGTTATGAATCAGGAGGCTGCTGGGACTGGGGTCCTGCCAAGAGGTTGAGCCTGCCTGGAGGAGACCAGCCCCTCCCCCTCCCTGGAGAGGCAGCCCACCCATCACTCTTCGACAGGTCCAGTTTTATCTTCTCTGAGACCCTAGTGGTCATAAGAGCAGTGGGAACTGGAGGCAGAAGAAATGTGTAAGTGAGGAATCAAGACTCCCTGAAACAAGAGTCTCCTTAAGGCATTTGGAAGAGATAAATTAATTCAGGAAGACACGCCTTCACAGAAGGCTGTGGTATCCAGACGCGTACACATGCAGGACAGTTTGTGAAATCCTGACATAAAGAGGAAAGGAGGCCACACGGTCACTGTTTAGAGCCTCTGCCAAACACACATACGAGAGTCCCATCTAAGGACTCAGCGCACTGAGGCTGATGTCTGGAAGGATCCCATCCGTTTTAGGATCCCAGGATGATTTCCATGATGTGGTCCAATTCATTCCACTCCCAGGATCCCGGGGTACAGAAGAGGCTGTGAGGTGGCTCTGGTGGTGGAAGCGCAGTGTCCTTTTCCACGGCAGATGTATCAATGTCCAGAAAGAAGTCATCCAGGCCAGAGTCTCCCAGATACCGGGAGCTCAGAGCTTCTAAGAACACAGGATCAGCCTGGGACATGATCTCACTCTGGGGATTTGAGGAAGCTGTTGGATTCAGTGGCGGCTCCATCTCATCCATGGATGTATCCAGCTCCCTGAGGATAGAGCCAATGGTGGTAGACAGGGAGAAATCGTCTTCACCTAGGAAGAGAGGCTCTGGGGGCAGGGCTGGTGCAGGAGCCAGGCGGATGGCAGCCTGGAGCTGCTGGAGTGTGTTGTGGATAAGGACGTGCCTACGGAGGCTGGGTGCTCTGGGGCCCAGGCTGTGCTGGACTTTGTCCAGAGAGATTCGGAGCAGGGCTTGCTGGTAGCTCCAAAGAGCTGTTGGACTCCAGTCCCACTTCTCAGCCTCTTCTTCTTCCTCTTCCAAATCAGAATGTTTCCTCTTTAAGCCTCCCATGTCCTGTGGGAAAAAAAAGATTCGAGTCAGATACCTTGGGATCCCACTTTTTCATGCAGCCCATGAGAAAACAACAACATGCAGGTAGGGTTGTTGGGAGTGGTGTGTGTGTGTGTGTGTGTGTGCACATGACACAGGGGGAGCAAACAGCAGTGAGGGTAGAGAGATGCCTATAACTGTAACCTCTGTATTAAGGAGTCAAAGGCAGAGTTCAGAAGTACAAGGTCATTCTCAGCTAGGTAGTGTCTCAGAAATAAAAGGAGCTGGAGAAATTGCTGAGTGGTTCCAAGCATTGGCTGCTCTTCTAGAGGACCCAAGTTTGATTCCCAGAACCCACATGGATGGCTCATAGCTGCCTAAAACTCCACTTTTAGAGGATCCATGGCTTCTTCTGACCTCTTTTGGCACCAGGCATACAAGTAGGGCCCAGACAAACATACAGGCAAAACACCCATACACGTAAAATTAAAAATAGGAGAATAAACAGAAAAAAACCTGCAGGTGGTGTTCTATGCCATTAATTTCAGCACTCAGGAGGCAGAAGTAGGTAGAGTTTTGTAAGCCAAGGCCAGTCTGGTGTACGTACATAGCCAGTTTCAGGCCAGGCACAGTTATATGGTTAGACAAACCGGTCTCAGAAAAACAGAAAGCCCTAAAATCACAAAAACACCCAAGCATGGCTTGAATATCGCTTCTGTGGTAGGCACAATGTTGAATTTACAGTATAGTAATCAATTTCAACATTTGGAAAGTGAAGATCTTAACTCTAGTCTCAATAGATCTTATTGTTTTTCCACAATATATATATATATATATTTCTAACAAGTCACAGGACAAACAGGTGTGGACTACAGAGTAACGGACCAAACCCAAATTTGAGACAGGGTTTCTCTGTATAGTTCTGGAACTTCCTATGTGGATAAGGTTGGCTTCGAACTCATATCGTACTGCCTCTTCCTCCCTGAGAGATGGGATTAAATGTGTCTGAGACCACGCTCAGCTGAGACGTGTATGTTGAAATTCATTCTTTTTTTTTTTTAACAAGAGTATTTCTGTACATACCTGCTTCCTACAATTAAGTCTATGAGTTCTCAAAAGTGGGAGCATTCCCCAAATTCAGAACCAAAGGAAAGCCAGCTAGAACTAGACTAACCCCAAACTGCACCCTCTAGCGACCAGTCCAACCAAATCATCTCTTCTTACAGGCACCGCCCTTCCCTGGCTCGCTAGACCAGATCCAAGAACACCTCAATGTATCCTCGGGGCCTTCTGGGAACTGTGGACCCAAACCCGCCAGGCAGAGCTTCTGCTGTCCTAACTACAATCCCCAGAAGGCCCAGCGCACCCGGGAGACTGGACACACCCGCCTTCGCTGAGAGCATGCGTACTGGAGCCCCGGCTGGTGGGGGAAGGGAACCCGGACTTCAGCTGCCCAGCGGCCGCCGAGCCCCGCCCTCTACTGCTTTCGGGGCGGCGAATCTGAGCTCCACGCCCCGAGCGCCCCTCCCCCACCAGACTTCAGTCCGAAACCTGCTTTCTCTGGCTCCCTATCACCCCAGGAGTTCTGGATTCTTCCCCAAACTGTCCTCGGTGTGCAGAGACCCAAATCCCATCCTATCTCCCAAAGACGACAAATAACTCTCGAGTACATAGTTCCGCTGGCGAAACCGGGTATCCCAATTCTGAGACCTTGTACCAAATCTCCCTTAATTCGGCTCCACTTTCAAATAACTCTGGGCTTTACTTTCCAAACTTCCAGTCCGGCCCCAAGACCCCGTCGGTGAACTCTCCCCGGCATTCCCTTCGCACGACGGCATCTCAGTATCCAAGACTCGGTGCCTCTAGTTCCCGGGTTCCTCTAAACGCTTCGTATCCTAGCCTTAAAACGCTCACTTTCCCCAGAACACCGTGGAACTCCAAACTCAGCTCACTCTTCGAGACCCAAACTGTCCTACTCTCCGACTGGTGCCCCCAAAGTTCTCTCTCCGTTTTCCTGGCTTCTCCAAACTTCGACTCCTGAATACTCCCGCTTCCCCTTCGGTGCTGATGCTGGAATTCAGCCTCCAGCCTTCCACTCTCCAATGTCCATCAGTCACACCAATCTGCACTCTCCACTCGGGATACCCTGCTTCCGCCTACCACGGGGGCGCGCCCCCCTCCTCCTCTAGGAAAATCTCACACAGGCGGCCACTCCTCACCTCGGCTACCAGGGTCGCCACGACTACCTCCGACAAACCTGCAGCGTTGCGTCCCACCAGGGCTGGGTAGGAGTCCGGCTCACTTTCCCCGGGCCTCTGGGTCTGGCCCGGGGCCACTCGGCTCCTCCCCGGAGGCCAGCCGCAAGCCACGATTGGTTGGAATCCTGCCCGCCGCGGGGCGCCATTGGCTAAGAGGAGCCACGGATGCCCGGCCCCGTCCATCACTGGGCCGGGTCCCGTTTAGGTTGGCTACTGGTCAGGGGGCGGAGTCTCCATGGTGGAGAGTGGTAACGCCGTCAGAACTGCTACTTTGGACTCAGCTGTGATTCTCACTCCTCTGTCTCACTGCAGACCCCTTACACCAGACCCCACTGCGGAGTGACACCGGGTGACACCATTCTCCCCTCCCTTTGCAGGCTGGGAAACTGGTGGAGGCCACGCCCCCCGGAGTTCCGAAGGCTGGGTCAAACCGGAGGGCGGGGGAGAGGGGGAATGACGCACTAGACAGCAGCCAATAGAATGATGCAGCTTGCGTTGCCTGAACGACCGCAGCCCCTCCCCTTAGCTGCCGGAGCTCTGTCTCCCCCACCCCCAACCCGTTTTGAAGGCGGAGCCTGTGCTTAACCTAGAGGGGTCTGTTGCTTGTTTGGTGGAACCTCCTGGATCCCAGGCAACTCCACCGTTTTTAGCATTTGTCTGCCTGTCGTTGCTCACTCTTAGTGGATGCTCGCAGCTCTGAGAACAAACATTTCGTTTGGAGGAATTTAACATTTGAGCTTTCTGAACAAACACCGTAGAACTGAGCTAAGATTTAAATTTTTTTTTTTTTTAATTTTGTGATATGGTTTCATAATGAATTGGCTTGCTCTTCATTGTTTGGTCTCTGGTGCCCTCCTTCCTGTTTCCTAGGATTCACTTTCGGGTTCTTTGTGTTTCAGGCAGTCTCCTGAAGCTGGGCTCCAGTGTAGGCGACGCTGGCCTTGAAATTCTAATCATACTTCGCTTCCATCTCAATTCTGGAGTTGCAGGTGTGTCCCTTCAGGCCCAGAAAATTCCCCCTTTTGTTTAGTTTTTGTGGTGTTGGAGACGGAACACCGAGTGCTAGCCAAAGTACTCTTTCACGTCCCCAGCTATTTTTTTTTTTTTTTTTTTTTTTTGTTAGTTTGTTTTCTGAGACAGGGCTTTGCACTGTAGTCTAAGCTGTTCTGGAATCTTGTATCTTCCTACTTCAGTTTTCTAGTTCTAGGATTTAGGCGATCATCACCTTGTCTAGCTTGCTTTCAGTTTTTCTAAGATGGCTCCCAAATACCTTCTAAGAAATGAACACTGGACTTTTCTTCCTTACCTTATCACAAAAGTCCAATACAAGGCAAACTCTCGGCAGTAAGACTGCCAGACTCTAAAATCTTCTTGGTTTTGCTTTGTTTCGTTTAGTTGTTTGTTTTTAATGCTTTTTTTGTTTGTTTGGTTTGGTTTTTTTTGTTTGTTTGTTTGTTTGTGAGACAGTTTCTTTGTGTAGCTCTGGTTGTCCTGGAATTCACTCTGTAGACCAGGCTGGCCTTGAACTTGGTAACTCAGTGGCACTCCATCTGCCTCTGTCCCACAAGTGCTGGGATTAGAGGCTGAAGCCACCACCACTCTGTTGGTTTTGCCTTTTTTTTTTTAACGTTTATTTTACACGTGTGAGTGTTTCGCCTGTATGTCTGTATGTTCACCATGTACATGCCTGGTACCCACAGAAGGCATCAGATCCCCTGGGAGAGTTACTGACAGTTGTGAGTCACCACCCGGGTTCTGTGAATCAAACCTGGGTCCTCTGGTGATAATCACCGAGCCCTCTCTCCAGCTCTTTGTTTGTGCTTTCAAGTTGAGGTCTCACATAGCCCAGGTTAGCCAGGAACTTATTTATTTTAAAAATATCACGTTTTTATTTTGAGTTTACGTGTACCATAACATGCTCTGTGAGGTCAGATGACAATTTGAGAGAGTCCTTCCACCCCACGGGAGCCAGGGGTCCAAGCCATCAGGCCTGGTGGCAAAGCTGCTTTACTCAACTCCCTCTGCATCCCTGGGATGCTACGTGCAGATGTAGATGCCTCTGGATGCGGTCCTTCTGCATCTACCTTTCAAGTACTAGGATGACAGCTGTTCCATGCGATTCCTGGATTCAAACCCAGGAGAAACAGCTGAGGTGCATATTTAACATACCAAAGTGGACCTGGCCTCCAGGTTCTCCCAGCATCCCTCAGACCCTACCTGTATACCTCGCCCTCTACCCTGAACTTTCTGTCCTAGGGGCTGGGCTTTCCTTCCCCCAGAGGCTCTTTCTTATATAATCCAGATATTTTGTGTTCTCTCTTTCTCTCTGTTTGCCTTTCTCTTTCTCTTCCCCTCCCTCCCCTCTGACTCTGTCCCCATGGTGACTCCTCTGGCCTCCTTCCTTGGGACCAGTGAACCCACCCGAGAGCAGCTTCCCAATAAACCTGCCTCTATATACTCTAATCTGGCTTGAATTGCCTCATTTCACTGGTAGAGAATAATATACCAGTTATTGTTCTTTAATTTTTTTTACATTTATTTATTTTAATTTTGTCTGTTTGAATGTTTTGCTTGTATGCATGCCTGTACCACATGCATGCAGTGCCCACAGAGGCCAGATGTTAGATGCCCTTCTTGAAATTTCAGTCAGTTGCCTCTTGTTCCTTCCTACTCAATTCCTAACCCTCTGCCTGCCCCCACCTGGACTAGGGCCCCTGAGGACAAGTTCCGAGGTTACCTCTGTTTGGTCTGTAATATTCTGAGTGCTGGGCCCAGTGCAAGTACACAGTGAAAGTCTGTCACGTGCTCAGGCAATGTAGAGAAAGAGAAGTTGAGATGGCAGAAACAAAACCTCAGTTGTGGACCAGCAAGATGGCACAGTTGGGGAAAGGGACTTGTCACTAAGACCCACATGTGGAAAGTGGAGAAGCAACTCCTACAAGCTGTCTGTCCTCTGACTGGGATGTGTATATGCACTTGAGTATAGGTACACACAACAAATAAATGGTGTACAAAACAAACAGAAACACAAAAATCCCCCCCACCTGAACTGGTAGTGGTAGCTGCATAAGTAAGGTCCTGACTCAAGAGACAGAAAAACAGGTGGGAACATAGCTCGGAGGGAGAGTGTGGATGTGTGTTGACCACATACAAAACCCTGGATTCAATCCCTGGTACTAGGGGAAAAAATTCACTCCTTCCAACAAGTGGGGTGGGGCACACACACACCGCTGATCCCATCCCCCTTCTCTTCCCATGTACCCACTTCATTTATGTGTACCCGGTGGGAAATCCTGTTGACTACCACACGATGAATGCCAGGAAAATGGCAGAGGGGTTCCAATCCATAACAGCCACAAACCTCATGGACAAAGCTGCTTCTCTCCTCCGTGAAAACTTAGCCTTACTGAGGGGCTCGAGTTTTATGTCTGTGTGCACCTCTATGGGGCTTTTGTTGTTTGTTCGGGGGAAGGTTGTGTTTGTTGGGTTTATTTGGGGGGATTGGGAGGATGGACAAACAAAGTCTCTCTGTGTAGTCATGGCTGTCCGGGTACTCAGGGATCTACCTGCCTCTACCTCCCAAAGAGCTGGGATTACAGGCCACGACACCCAGCTTTTCTTCCTTCCTTCCTTTCTTTTTCAATTACATTTTAATTAAAAAGTTATTTATTTTTTGTTCGTTTGTTTTGTAGGTTTTGTTGTTTTTCAAGACAGACCTCTGGGAATAGCTTTGGCTGTCCTAGAACTTACTCTGTAGACCAGGCTGGCCTCAAACTCACAGGGATCCACCTGCCTCTGCCTCCCAAGTGCTGGGATCAAAGGTGTGCACCAGCAACTCCCAGCAAAAAATTAAAAAAAAAAAGTATGTGTCTCAGTGTTTTGCCCATATTTATCCCTGTGCACTACTTGGCTGTCTGGTGCACATAGTAGACTTTGGATCTCCTGGGACTGAAGTTCTGAGCCCCTGCGTGGACCCTTTGGAAGCACAGGCTCTCAAAGGCTGAGCCATCTCTGCGGTTCCCTTTCCTAGAGTCTTTGAGACTGCATCTCCGTTCATTCAAGGCTGGCCTTGACCTCACTCTGTAGCTCAGATTCCTTCCAACATCCACCTACCTGTCTGAGCCTCTGAGGATCTGGGATTACAAGGCCTGTGCCACCTGGACTGCCAGTGTCAGTCAGTTCCTCCTTTTTCTTCTCTATCCTAAACTGGCAATCCTCCAACACCTCTGTGTCAGTAAAACTCAACTGGCTGCTCTTCTAGAGGTCCCGGGTTCAATAATTCCCAGCATCTACAGGTTGATTCAAAACTATCTATAAATCCAGTGCCAGGGGGATCGAACATCCTCTGACCTCATTGGATACCAGGCATGCAGAGACATACATGCAGGTGAAGCACCCATATACATAAAATAATAAAAACAATTTTAAAAAAATCTCCAGGAGCCAGTGCCTCCACCCCTACTTCCTTTGCAATTTTTTTTCTTTTTGAGACAACAGTCTCATCCTTTAATACTACATAAACTATATAGCATACACTGGACTCAAAATTATGCCAATCTTCCTGCCCCAGCAGCATGAGGGCTGGGATTGCAGTTGTAAGTCACCATGGCCAGCAAAAACTGGCTTTTTCAGAAATACTTCTTCTCAATCACATTATATTTATTCATTTGTGACACGCACGTAGTGGAGTATACATGTCAAAGTCAGAAGACAATTCACAGGAGTTGGTTCGATCCTTCTATCATGTGGGACCTGGGGATTGAACTCGGGTCTTTGGGCTTGGTGGCAAGCACCTGTAACTGCTGAGCCGTCTTGTTAGTGCTAAGATTAGCCTTTTTACAATGAACAATTCAGCCTCCGCAGACCTCCTTAGTCCTGGCCATCTCTACTTCACTGTAATGGCAGTATTAATATTGATATTATTGTTATTTCCCCATTATTAAAAGCATGGTCTAGGACTGATAATCCTCCTGCCTCCCTCTTCCAAGTGCTGGGATTTCACGCCTGGCATGTAATATTATCACTGACTGCAAGGGACAAAGTTTAGTT